TATTAAATAATATGTTTTAGGAATATATGATTTTGGATGAATAAAATGAATAAAATACAACAATAACAAGAAGCCTTTATCCCACGATATGGAGTCGGCTACATGAATCTTTTTTTTTTTTCATTGTGCCCGCTTAAGAGTCAAATTATTATTTAAATCTAATAAAAAATATCATTTTAATACTTACTAACCAAGTTTTTTGTAGTTCTACCTCTACCTTTCTTAACATAGGTTGGATCTATTGGGATAAATTATAAATTGATCAAAAAAGAGTAATGTGGAATCAGCTCTGCAAAAGAAGCATTAAAGTAAACTCTTAGATATAGATGTGCTCTTATTTAGAGTTCTTAAGTTATGTGAGATATTATAGTAATTTGATTAATAAAGTTTTTAATAAGATTTTGAAGAGGATTTCAAATGATTGGAAACATATTTAAAGAAAGCATATGCTTTTGTGCTAATATTTAAAAGCAAAGGAGGTGTTTAAGGTTGTGCTAATTATAAAGGAATTAATTTTATGATTATAATAATGAGGCTATGTGATGATAGTAATGGAATATAAATTTAGTAATATTATGATAGTTCTAGAGAATTAATTTGATTTCATACCATACTGATCTATTATAGAAGTGAAATTTTGTGCTAAGACAATGAAAAAATATAGGGTGTAAAGAAATGATCCTTATTGATCTTGAGAACGCTTGATTGAGCTTCCCATCATTGATTTGGCGTGCTTTAAGGAAATATTTGTCATATATGCATGTAAAAATATGTATGATGGAACATTGTCTAGTGTTGTGTAGTTAGGGGAATGATTAAAGAGTTTTCAATTGTAATAGGATAACATTAATGTTTAAATTTGGGTCCATATATTTTTATATAATCTATGGAGATGCTTTAAAAAAAATGATATTTGAAGTAAATTATTTTTTGGGGGGCAGGGGCAAGGGGGTTTCAAATATCAATTTGTTGAAATAAGTGAAACATTTATAAAAATAAGTGAAAAGTTCAAATAATAAAGAAAACTTGTAGAAGATGGAGGATTTAGAAATCGTAAAATAAGTATTGAGTATATTATATGTGATTTTAATTGGTGTGATAGTTGAAGTAACCAATCAATGTAGAAGATAAAATGATACATATTTGTAATGGTTTTAACTGTCTTTGATTTTTTTATTCAAAATAATGGAGAATGATTGGAATATAGATTTGGAAATAACTTTTGAAGTTAAGGTTGGGTGATAAGTGTCTTTGGAGTATTATGTGATAATAGAATGTAATGGAAGATTTAAAAATAGATTTTATAAATTTGCAATTAGGCTTGACATTGGTGTATGGATCCAAGTGTTGGACATTAAAAAAATTGTTAATAGCTATGTTAAGTGTGATTGAAATGAGAATGTTAAGATAGATGCATAGCAAACTTAGGAAGGATAAATTGATTAATAATTATATTAGAAGAATGATTGTGAGATAAATTAAAATGGACTTCTTTGGTTTGTTCGTACAACAAAGCAGTAGAGAAAGTACCCATTAGATGGTAAATATAATTAGTGTCTGAGGAATAGGAAGGAGAAGGGCTAAACCTCAGATAACATAGTTCTATTTTGTTCAAAATACTTTGCAAAGGATTAGTCTTGCACCTCAAGTAACAATAATCAGAAATAGATGAAAAATTAGAATTCATAAAGCCTACTTCAAATAGTTGGTATAAGTCTCATAGTGAAGATTTAATTTGTTTTCTCCTTGTAGGATCATGGAAGAAATGCTTGTTAAAAATTTTACCTAGTTTTCAAGATTAAGTCAAAGAAATTTGCAATTAACTACTTGGATGACATTCTTTCACATATATAAGTTCTTTCATATATACAAGTGATATTATATGGTTCTTTTTGAAACCACATGACTCATTTGAACAATAAACCCTAAATTTAGTATAATTATTTTGATCGGTCCAATTTATCATCCAATTTATTTTCTTGGTTTGTTCTATTCTTGTGAAAGAGATCATTATATATATTTTTCTCTCTTTGAAGTTTTATATTTTCATTTATTATGATGTAATTAACTTGATGAACTATGTGGATGTGATACTTAGTTTGAAGGCATGCATGCAACTCATAATTTCATTGATGATGTGTACTACCTCATGTAATCTTTTTCCTTTATTTATAAAAGATTTTATTTTTTTGCTTTAAGAAAATGCTAATAATGAGCCTCATGATGAGGATGATTATGATAGTGTTAGGAAACATTTGAAGATTCAAGTAAATCCTATCAATCTCGGGAAAACAACGAGAAATTTTCACAAATCCAATGGAAAATCAGATAAAAACAGGAATTTTATTGCAAGAAGACAAATTATCGGAAGAAAATAACAAGATACAGTTGATCCTCTATTCGAGAGGAGGATCAATCTCTCCCAAATCTCTAGACGCTGTTAGAGCCCAAAAGAACCAAAGAGATCTCAAATATCAGCCAAATTCAAGATGCTCTAACCCTAGGAAAACAAATTATTTAATGCATACAATCCAAAAGAAAATCTCTAAATAGCCCATACTTTTGAAATTTCCCTCCTAATTCCCTAAAAAATCCTTCCTAAAAAGCTCTCTCATGCCAGGGCGATCGGATCGTGCATACAGGAGGCAGAACTTCGGCCTATTTCGTCCGTAAGCCAGTCCCGTCTGGACCGGCTGAACCGGTCCAGTAGACTGGTCTAACAATACTCCCCTCACAAAGACCCACATTGTCCGCAAGGTAGAAAGACAACGCCCTCCTCCATTCCCTCGTCATCATAAACGATAAGAACCTGAAGAGTTTGGTCCTTACACATATTCCCTGGAGTATACCTCTCGTCATATCTAAAACAGAGCCAGTTCACCATCTTCTCCTGTAATTTCATTTCTGTGAGCTTCTTGAATTTGTCCACAGGTCTTTCCTTTGAAGTCCCAGAAAGAGTATATGGTGTTGGCTCCTTGGATGTCAATAAGGTCAGTTGGTCATCCTGTACGAGCTTATTGAGTTGCTTTCTCTCGTTCCTCTCTTCAGGTACCTCTGATCCTCCACCAGCTGTGCTAGCTCCATAGCCTCTCCCAAGTCACGAGGCATCTTTACTCTAATAGCTGCCCAGATCTCTGGTGTCAGTCCCTTCATCAGTTCCCCTCTAGCACTGTCTCAAAAAGGCGGTCCAATCGGCTAGCCAGGTACTCGAACTTCTTCCGGTACTCTATCATTGAATTATCCTGTGTCAAGGAAAAGAACTGCTCGTAGAAGTCTCCTCCTCTGCCGGTTTGGAAACGTTCTATCAAACAATCATTGAACTCCCTCCAACTTCGTATGGGTCATCGCATGTCCCTTCATTGGTACCAAGCCAAAGCCTTCCCTTTCAAACATTGGTCTGCTGCCAACGGTCTCTCCTCATCTGTGAACCCATTGGTGGCGAAATATCTTTCAACTTTGTAGATTCACTTGTGCGCATCCTCCCCCTCAAAGATTGACATGTTCAGTTTTCTCACCCTCAAATCGCCTCCGTTCCTTCTGTTCCCTCCATAATTTTCGATTCCCCAAGGGGGTGGTTCTCCCCAAGTATCTCAGTCATCCATTCTACACTCATACTCAAATCTTTCACAACTTCACACCTTCTCCTTTCAAATTCAACACCCCTTGGATCATAATAAACTCCTATCCTTTCAAATTCAGCCACCCTTTGGCCATAATTTTCACTCTCTTTCAGAATCCGCCCCTTTGCTCTCAAATTCAACACCCCTTCATTCTTACCTTACCTCCATGCCTCTCTCCATACCCTCTACCCAACTCTTCCCTTGGAATAGGTTCTAAGTAAGGTATTCTCTCTTCTTTCTTTCGAGTATCCACCTCATGATCTTCCTTTCATCTGATTGGCTTAGGATTTTCCCCACTTCCTTGGTCATTGGCACCTTCCCTCACCTCAGACAGTGATATTTTGGTTTGTCCCTTGAGCACTTTCTTCAACATATCCCCCAGGTTGGAAAAATTCCCATCCAACTTTTCATGGATGACTGAAATTTAACTTTGACATCTAAAAGTTGAGCGTGGAGATCTGAAATTTCAGTTTTTAATTGTTTGATCTCCCCTCCAACACTTCTACCTTTCTTCCTGCCATGGGAACCTGGATTTAGGCTCCAATAGTAAAGAGCAAAAAGTTTGACACAAATTTTGACCTCCATAAGCAAAAACAACAAGATCAAATACGGCATGCAGCAAAATTCAGCGAGGAAGACTTCTATTTTAGCCCAGAAAATTGCTCTGATACCGAATTTGATAGGAAACACTTGAAGATTTCAAGTAAATCCTATCAATCTCGGAAAAACAATGAGAAATTTCCTCAAATCCAACATAAAATAAGAGAAAAAAAAAGAATTTTATTGCAATAACACAAACTAACAGAAGAAAATAGCAAGATACAATTGATCCTCTATTCAAGAGGAGGATCTATCTCTCCCAAATCTCTAGACACTGCTAGAGCCCAAAAGAACCTATGAGATCTCAAATTTTAGCCAAATTCAAGATGCCCCAACCCTAGGAAAACAAACTATTTAATGCATACAATCCAAAAGGAAATCTCTAAACAGTACCTCCTTTGAAATTTCCCCCCTAATTCCTAAAAAAATCCTTTCTAAACAGCTCTCTCATGTCGGGGCGATCGGATCGTGTGTACAAGAGGCGGAACTTCCTCTTGTTTTGTCCATAAACCAGTCGGCCCAGCGGACTGGTCTAACATATACCTATATACCTATCTTATGTTATATAGATACGGAAAATGAATGACAAGATGTTGCTTCCCTCAAAAATTGTGTTCATTCGATGATAATCGTGAGAACTACTTGGATCAAGACTGATAACAGTAACGATGATAATGGCTACAATTGCATTTGTTTCAATGCATAGTTACTCTTCATCCATCATGCAAATAATTGAACTCTGAATTTTCTGAATCAAGAAGAGCCTTTTGCATGTGTCAGGCTATTGTTCTGAAAGCTACAATACACAGAAAAGGGTCTGCCAGACTCGTCTCCCATGTGGCCCCTTTGCAACATCAACTAAAGCTATATGGGATAAAAGTACCCCTCATTGTTGCAAGTGCATATGTTTTGTCGAGCATCTTGGCTATTTTTGCTGCATACGTTGGTCTAATTTCAGCTTGAGTTACAGATCTATCTTCACACAGCCAGTTTCAGAAGTATATAGCAGAGAGCTGACAACATAATTGCCCATAGGTACTCTATCAAATTTCACTCTATTTTGTTTTTCAACGAGATTTTTTTTTTATTATTATTAATTTAGGAAAAAAAGGCCCTTAAATGCATTGTTTTGTAAGCAAACTATATAAAACTTGCTATGATCCTTGCATTCTTGACGTAAGATTCATTATAAATCTAAATCAGTTGTATTTTTCCTCAGAGAAATGAGAAAAAGTTCAAAATCGTCTATTAATAAATGATCAATTTAGTTCCAGAATAATTTTTGTAATTTTCATTAAATATTTTATTATTTTAAATGACTATCTTGCACTCTTAATATATACACATCTTAAAATAAATTAAATAATTATAAAATCTATGTTAGATCAGACTAAGCTGGCTAAATTTTCTCCTTTATTATTTCCTGCCCTTCCTCTCCTCCCTTCACCATCAAACTCCATGTAGCTTATCTGTACAGCAAGTGGAAGGACCTCTCTCCATTCTAAAACCTTCACATCATCACATGACTCTCTTTATAAATCACACACTTCTCCATCTCCCTCTACTATGTTCTCTCCTTATGGAAGACATGGCATCCACAATGAGCAAGAGCTATGGCATCCACATTGATGGTACCATTGATCTCGATCTTTTGGAACTTCTCGATGAGGAGTTCGAAGGCGATGGCGACGTTGATGATGATAAGCTCGACAAGTTCATGGAGATGCTCTAAGCGGAAATTGTTGGTGGGGGAGAGGATTTGATATCCTTGGACGATGTTGATGGCGGCGGCTGGCAATGCGATGCGGTGGGATGGCCGGAGATGATGGAGATGGATGAGTGTGGATATGTGTTTGGAGATTATGGTTGTTTCTATTATGTTGGTGTGGAAGGGAAGGGAGAAGAGGATATTATGAATAGAGACTATTATTATATACTTTGGTAGCAAATGTTTGATGCATGAAGAGATTATTTTTTATGATTGGAGAATAAAATTTTCAATTTTTAGTAAAAAGAAAAACAAATTATACAATATTTATTATTTTATTTAGAAAAGAATTTCTACTATATAATGAGTGTTGCTCAACCTTTTACAGGAAAATGCTGAGTATTTTTTTTTTTTAATATTTTGAACATATTTGTTGATAGTGGTAAAATTATTTGTTTAATATTGTATCTTAAACATAATTAATCAAAATAAATTTTAATTTTTATTTGATAAAAAAATAAAATTAAAAAAAAAAAGAAATCATGGATCATGTTGATATTTGAATCAAGCTTGATAAGTAAAAAAATAAAAAATGGACTTAACAAAATACTAGTCAAATTAGGAGTATAAGTGAGTCAAGTCAAATCGTGAGTCTAGCTCAATGCTCTAATGAGCTAATCTTAAGCCAGCATTAACTCAACTCATTAGCTTGTGAGCCGGCTCATTTAAATAGCATTATTCATTCTTTTAAGATTAAGAGATAATACATCATAGCTAATTGACATAACAAACATTAAAAAGAAAGCAAAATTTTATTATCTTATTAATTTTTTAAAAAATAATATCATATTAATAAAAATATATAGTTCACAAAGTAAAAGATATGAATGAATGGCATTCATTCCACTCAAAAGCTATGGATGAGTATCATCATTCCCCTTGGTGCCTTGAGGGGCCATTAAGGAAACTTTTTTTATTATTTTTTTTAAAGGATTTTATAATTTTTGTGCTATAAAAATATAAAATTGCTTTAAGAAGCAATTAGTAAGCCGGTCCCAAACGAAGTCTTAAGATTGTGAGCAAGCATAAAAATGAAGACAAAGTTATTACTATTGGTTACTATTTTTCAAAAAATAATTAATCTTTTATAATTAATTATATTTTAAAAATTTTATGATTTTTATAGTGGGAATTTTTTATCATTGAAAAAAAAAATGATATGTTAAATCTTAAAATTATTATTAAATTTTATTTAAAAATAATCAATCAAAATTTATATTGTATTTATTTCGAATTAAATAAATAATTTTAATCTCTACTCTAATAATTTTTCACAATTTGTGAGGAGCAATTATATTTAGGGGTGTAAACGAGTTGAGTCGAGCTCGAGTCAAGAGTTATTCGAGTCGAGTTCGACTGTCAAATATCGAGCTCGAACTAGAGTCTAGCTCAAAAGATGAGCTTGAGCTCAACTCGTCTTATGTCGAGCTTCATTTAAGACGACTGCTTCGTCCTGAGGTCCGTACAGAGCTCCGTCATCGAGGAACACGTGAGCACCGTCGTTGTGTGACTCGTGTCCACTCCATCCCAAGCTCGTCACGCTCCGCCCAGTCTTTGATTTGTTTCCCACCGTCCCGAGCTTGATCTTTTGTTTTCCCGTCGGCAACAAAAGGTCACCCCGGCGAGCTGCTCGAAGGGCTCGTGAGTCGAGCAATAAGCCGTCGAGTTCGAAATCGTATTCAAGCTCGACTCATCAACCCGTCAACAAGCCAAGTCTGAGCCGACTCGCGAGTTGGCTTGACTCAATTACAACACTAATAATATTGCATAGTTTTTTTTTTTCAAAAATCAAATTGTTTGATAACATCCATCATATAATAGTAAAATGAAAAGAAAATTCAAATCAATATAATAAACTGAAAAAAATATAATTAATCTTAATTTAAAAAAAAAGCATATTAAAATATAATAATAATTATTTTTTTTCCAAGCAAGTAAACACTCTTAAATTATCATCTTGATCATCTCCCGAGCCCAACTCAACCACACTAAATTAAAAAATAAAAATAAAATAAAAAAATCATAAAAAATAAGAAAAAAGAATAAATAATTTACAAATCACAAGGAAAGCAATTTTATTTTTTGCACTTAGACAACAAACAATCTGGAATTTGCAATTGAGAGATCAGCCGAGGGGTTATTTGTTATTTTCATTTTCCAGCGTTGAAGCTGCCATGTTCTTGAGCTTTTGCCTTTGGTAAACCTGTCTTAGCCTCTCTATCTCCTTCTTCAGTGCCTCCTGATGTGCTGTAAATAATAATATAAATAATTATTTATAAATTTTCTCAATGCCCATAAAATTTTATGGAATTGATTTTTATTTAAATAAGGGTTTATTTTGGATGGCTGCAACATTTAATAAAGTTATTGTGAAGTAATTATTGAGAAAATAATTTAGGTTTTGTTTGGGTACTGCTTTCTAAAGTGGCTTTCTAGTACAAAATCTTTTTAAAAACAACTGTCAAAAGCTGTCTCAAACTAACCCTTAGGCTTCGTTTGGGACGGCTTTCTTATTGCTTCTTAAAATAACTTCTATTTTAAAAATTTTATTTTTTGTACTAAAAAACTGCTTTAAGAAATAGTAAAAAAATCGTTCTCTTACTATTTATTAAAGGAGCTTTCTAGTACAAAAAATTTGATTTTTGTACCTGAAAACTACTTTAAGAACCAGTAAGAAAAGTGTTCTAAATAAAACCTTAGCTACTCTGATTGCAAAAAATGATAGTTCATCATAAAAAAATTATAAAAAATAGTGAAGAAAATAGAAATAGCAAGAAAGTAGTGGACAACGAAATTAAATAATTCTTAAGCACATCAAGAAAGGTGCCCCTAACAAACCCTAAGTTTCGGGTTTAATTTAAAAGAGCTTTGCGACGGTTTTCATGATACGAAAAACATTTAGTGAGAAATAATGTCTCTTAGAAAGGAAAAATCATCTTGTGTGGATCCCGGGCGGCATCCGAAGACCAACCAGAATGCACCACATCATTTTTTGCTCGGTATCTGTGCTCGGTATTGATGTGTACCGACTAATGTGGTGCATTCTAATTGGTCTTCGGATGGTCCAGTGTCCGCACAAAATAATTTCTCCTTAAAAAAACAAATTTTTCAACACTTTTTCAAATTCTTGCTTTTAAAAACTGTTTTTTGAAGAAGTATTTTTTGAAACTGTGCCTAGCAAGTAGCTTACATTGCCTCAAATAAGTTTAAGGTTTCGTTTGGAACAACTTTCTTGCTGTTTTTTAAAACAGTTTTTAGTAAAAATAAATTACTATAAAGCTGTTTTAGGCTTCGTTTGATATGGCTTTCTTACTGCTTCTCACAAATTTAATTTTTTTAGTAGAAAGCTACTTTAAGAAGCAATAAAAAAGCTGTCTCAAACAAGCATTAGAAATCAATAAAAAATCTATCTCAAATGAAGACTAAGTTATTTTTTTATCTTATATGAAATTAAACAAATATAATTAACAGATTACAATATTTAGAAGTTTATTATATACTAATCACCTAATTAATTATAATTAAGCGTACTTACCATCCTTAAAAATCTTATCTTGCGCAAGAGCAGCGATTCTCTGCTTAAGATGGCTGTTTCCGACGGTCAGGATTGAGCGTTGGTGGTCGAAGAATGCCACCCGAGGAGACAGAGCTGATACCTCAGTCTTCAAGATCAACACAACTTAATTAAAAACGGATTAAAATAAATCTTAAGTCTTAATTAAGTGATTAAGATAATACGATATTAGAATCTGAAATTCTGTAGGCTAATTAAGTACTAATTATTATCATTACCTGCAGAGTTGTTACGCTTCGCTCGAGCTCAGAGATGTACTGTAGCTTCCTCACCCTTGATCTTTGCGCTGATTGTCTGTTCGCTAATATCCTGAAGAAAACCAACAAGATTATTAAGAAAAATTAATTAATCTTAATTAACTTTGGTTAAGATGATTAATGATGTTTAGTTAGCACACAGATAATACAAAATGTCATTAAGCTCTTAATGACATTGCTCGTTTGGTTTGAAATTTTATTCGATTTTATGAGATAATTTTAAAAATATTTATAGTTAAAGATTCTATCTAAATTATCTTAATTTTAATGATTAAATAGAAGAAATTGCATTAATTATTCTGAATGATTTCTTATTTTTTTAAATATAAAATGTAAGAGATAGCATTATTATATGAGTAAAATTGTTATCTAAATAATATAATATTTAATAACTTCAAATTAAGCTCAATTTTAGTTGAATTTTTTGACTTTTGTTGATTTAGATTGTTATCTAAATTATCTTAATTTTAATGATTAAATAGAAGAAATTGCATTAATTATTCTGAATGATTTCTTATTTTTTTAAATATAAAATGTAAGAGATAGCATTATTATATGAGTAAAATTGTTATCTAAATAATATAATATTTAATAACTTCAAATTAAGCTCAATTTTAGTTGAATTTTTGGACTTTTGTTGATTTAGATTGAAAAAAAATGGATTAAATAATTTTGACTAAAATTTAATTATGATGAATTTTTTGAATTTAACTTAGGAAATGAAATATGAAAATTGATTAATTATATGTATTTCGCATTCATTTTGAAAAAAATTAAGAAGCTTTATAATTTTTTTGGACCAAAATTTGATAAAAATATCCTTACATAATTTTTTCTCCATTTAGCACTAAGATTATTAAAGCTATGCTGAATTTAATGAAATATATCTTCATGAGGTTAAAAATGTTTGGATCTACATTAAGATAAGTGTTATATATTAAAATTTTATATTACATTAATTTAAAATAAATCTAATAATTTTTATTTTTATTTTAAGAAATTAGTATCAGAACATCTGCCCAATTTTCATTAAAAACTGCTCAATCTTATCAAAAATCTTTTAAAATCAAACGGAATTGAAGAAAATATGTTATTTTATGATTTTATTTTTTAAAAAAATATTGAAGAAAATAAACACCAAAATCTTTCAGAAGCAGATATTTATGTAATGCAGAAGAAATTAAACATTCTACTAATCACAAAATAAATTGGAGATTTTCTGATTTTTCTGATATAATTTTTAAATATCCAAACATAATTTTTTATTCTAATTGAATTAATTAAGGAAAATAATAAAATTTTCCATTTTTTATGTAAAATTTGATTCACGTTATGAGAAATTTGAGTGATTTTCTGCTCATGAAATTAAAAAAAAAAATTTTAACCAAAATTGGATAATTCACGAGACTCCGATAAGATACTCAATTTGCCAATTATGCTTACCTCTTCACCCGCTTGCTATCCACAATCAGCTCCGTCTCCGCCACCGCCGCCGCTGCTGGCGGAGCTTGATCCACCGCCGCTGCCCCTTCAGCCGGCCGCCCATCCATACATTGGCTGTGCTCCTCCTCTAACTCACTTTTCATCTTCCGCTCCCCGCCGTCGCCCTTCTCCGCATTAACACTATTACCATCCGACGCCACAGAAGCATTATCCGACGACACCGGCGGCGGCTGCGCCACCTGTTCAGAGAACATTGAGAGCAGTTGTTCATCGTCGAGGCGGTCAAAGTCGCTCGTCTCTGGCTGTTCGAGGAAGGCGATGGAGTCGCTCACCGACCGCCGGTGAGCTCCGCGCCTGGCCGCCGTGAAGTCGAGGAACTCGTCCACCCATGAAAGACCCTTGTGATGGTAATTAGGGGGAATTGTGGGTATTTTGGGAGGCAATTGCGCCATTTTTCATCAATCTACGCCTCTGTAGAAAAGCAGAGAGCTTTCATCTATAACTCTCTCTCTATCTCTCTTAAGGCCTCTTCTCTCGGAGATATTTGGCTTTCTCTCTCCTCTTTTGAGCACCGTGCATAGTATGTTTCTCTCTCTAGATCTGTTTCTCTCTCTAGATTTCTTTCTCTCTCTATCTCTAATGTGATAGAAGAAATGATCACATGACAATGGCAGGGGTACAGCTTGAGCCAGCTGTGAGAGAAAGGGGGGCGATCTGAGGGGTATATAAACGGTTTAGAAGAAAGGCGATAGGCAGTTAAATTGACCGGCAAAACAGACACGTGGCGGGAGACTTTCCAGTAGCTATGGCCCACTCTCATCAAGGGAGAAACTAATATACTATTAAAAAGAAGAAAATTTTATGTTATAAACTTATAATTAATATCCTCACATTAAATACATCAAAAATAAATTTTTGAAACTTTTAAATTATATTAAAATTAGTATTATATATCATAAATTAAAATTTAAAATTTATCTTAACAAATTTTGTAACAAAAATTTAATAATTTTTTTCTTAAATTGATTTTCCTAAAAAACTTTTCCTTAATTTTTTTTAAGGATCAAAATAATTTCTTGTTATATAAAAGTGTATATTTGATCTCTTAAATTTTTAAATTCAATCAATTTAATTTTTTTATTAAATAATTTAAGTTCCTATTTAAATAGTATAAAAGTTAGAGACCATTTTTTTTAAATTTATAAAAAAGGTGAGAATTGTTCAATTCTAATGCAAATTTATAATTATTTATTTAAAATATCAATATTTATCAATTAATGCCAACACTAAAAAAAATTAATAATAATAAATTAAATACTAACTTTTATTATTATTTATCATAAAAAAATTTTCATGAAAATTTCTCATGAAGAAATAAGCCTTTGCATGTATTAGAAAATGTGTATCTCATCTTCAGATATGGTGGATTTAAGTTTCAAAGTGGGCATATGGGGGCATGTGCTTCTCTAACTTTATCATGTTTTTTTTTTATATAATAAATATAAATTAATATATCTTAGGTATTTGAAATTTCTCATTGTAAATATTAAATTGTAGTCCCTAAAAAATTAATTAATTTATGCGTCTCATTAAAAAAAATATACATACATTCTACTTTTATTTCATAGTATTTACATATCTAACACTCAAAATTTTAATATTACATTTCTAGTACTCATATAAAATTTCGGTATTTGAAATTTCTCATTGTAAATATTAAATTGTAGTCCCTAAAAAATTAATTAATTTATGCGTCTCATTAAAAAAAAATATACATACATTCTACTTTTATTTCATAGTATTTACATATCTAACACTCAAAATTTTAATATTACATTTCTAGTACTCATATAAAATTTCAATATCAAATATATCATTCATATATTTCATTCTTATCACTCATACCATCTTATAAACTTTAATATTTCATTCCATGCAGTCATATTTGTTATATATGTGATAGACATGTAATATTAAAATTTTAGGTGTTAGATACTTAAATCCCCCTAACAAAAATTCTTAGCTAAGCCAATGTTGATGCCATTATGTGGGTGTAAACATGGAGTAATTATTACGTCCGGACAAAAAATCGAAAATCTAGATGTATACCGAGCAATACTGAGTTTCAGGTGATGTGGCGCGTGATTATTGGTCTCTGAAAGCGTCAGGTGACCTGACGTAATAATTGCTCGTAAACATGATTGTATATATGGGTATAGTAGAAGCCCTAAGCTTCATTTGGGACAGCTTTGTTAGTGTTTTGTTTTTCAGGCTGTAATCACAATTTTTATTTGATCACTATTTTTTTACTATATATTAAAAAAATTTATGCTAGGAAGTTGATTTCCATAACAGTCTTAAAAATTTACTTTATCTACAACACATTTATAAATTAGTAAGAAAGTTGTCTCAAACACCTTCACAAAATAGTAAGAAAGTTGTTCCATACGAAGCTTTAATCTAAGAAAATAGTTCATCGTTATATATATATATATCATTTAAATTCAACTGGAAATTCATAGTGTGCATTAATGTGTGATTTAGAATAGTTGTGAAATGAGTCACTAGTCTATTTTTTTCTCTTTTTTTATTTTTTATTTTATTTTTTCTTTTGCCTATTTTTTTCTATTAATTACTCCATTAAAAATTTGTGGCAATATAATAAAAGAGTTTTGCATCCAAGATTTATATGAAGATTCAACATACTTATGCAAAGTCAAATAATGTAATAGATACATGATTTTTTTAATGGAAAATCTAGGAAGATGAAAATGCTAGCTAGAGGGCTTGACACAATTGAAATAATTCTACTTGTTGAGTACTATTGATTACAAATATTTTCACATCTAAAAATTAAAAAAAGAAGGAATTACAAGAGTAAAAGTTGTTTTTGGAAAGTATTTCAGAGTTGATAGGAGTTTAAAGGCATTCAGATGATTATTACTGAGTGATGGTGGTTTGCCAGTGATGCGCTTAGGCTGTTATTATTTGACTGGAGTAGTCACGTAGTGCGGTGGCCCAATGTAGAGGTCAAGCAATGGTGGTGCAAAAACTTTGGTAACCTGGTAGTGTTCTGATTACATAGGATGGACAAGGGTGATTCGGTGAGGAAGGTGGTCTTATGAGAGAGGTTAGGTGGCAGCAATCCAACAACAAAGGTGGGGAGGCTGCAGTTTGACAGTGGAGGTCGGATGGCGGCAATGTGATGGTGGTAGTTTCACGAAGTGACCCAATGACAATTCTACAATGATGGCAGTATAGTGGCGATGGTCTGATGATTGTTGTTCTAAGGTGGTAGTTGGGTAACGGTTCGAAGCTGCGGTTGGGCAGTGGCTAGAAGACGATGGTCGAGTAGTAGTTAAGCAATGGTGTATCAGTGAAGCTTTAGGGATCTTTGAGCCTTTGAACTCTTTTAAATCTTAGGCCAAGCCTCCTCATTATTTCAAGACTGATGGCATAGTTATAAACTGAGAGTGACATGCCTCATAAATATAACTTAAATTCAAAACTCTCCATCGAATGACCCACCCTTAATCAAACATCATTCTTTTAGCATTTAAATGCCTTAATGATGTCAAAATTAAGCAAACTTGGGGTTGTTAATTGGATTTGTTTCGATTTAATATAAGCATGCAAAGTTTAGAGATCATTTTCTCATCCAATTAATGCTCTAAAGTTTTCAACTATAATTTAAGAGTTTGATCTGAGCTCATTTTAACTCATATGAGATCACTTATACCACCATTGAGTTCATCCCATCAAAACGATCTACTTGATAATAAGTTTGCTGAAATTAGAGTTCGACTAATCTGAAGTTGTATTTTGAAAATTTTCTCCTTTAGTGTATATATGCACTAATGCACACATTCATAACCTTTGGTATTAAGAATATATTTATGAGAAATATTAAATATATTTAGTGGCCATAATGTAACTTGTTCATCATAAAATATGAATTTATTTTTTATGATTAAAAAGATTAAAACTAATGTATTCACTGTTTCAAAAAAAAAATGATAGTTTGCATCAGAATCTTCTCAATGGACATATTACATTGTATTAGAGGATAATTATCAATTTAAAGTATATAGATTTTTTAAATGGGGCTATCAATTAGAATTGGCGGGTTAGGTTTGGACTTGACATGAAGACAATCAGACTTAAATATGCTACTGAACCTAACTTGTTTATCATATAGCCAAAATGTTTGGCCTGAACTCAACTTGACTCAAACCCACTTAACCAAAAATGACCAATTTTTCAGGTCAACAATATATCGATCATGGAATTTTTTAGATCAACAGTATCTTTTAACTCAAATATGACCTATTTAACTCAAACATGATTCAATAACCATATCTCGACTTGCTTAACCTAAATAAGAATGGTAATTGAATCAATTTCGTGAAAATTCAAATTTTCAAGTCTATCAAAACCCAACCCTAAAATTAATCAGGTCAATATTTCAGCCCCAAACTCAACCCAAATAGTAATATGATTAATCTAAACTTAATTTTTTTCGCATCAAGTTTAAATCGGATCATTTATTGACACTTCTACATACTTTAAATGTTTTGCAACCAAATACATTAGCTACTAATTAACAATTGTGCTTAAAGAAATGCATGATTTAAATTAGATTTTGGAAGGGAGCATGTCTATGTTGTCCAATTATTCTCTATATTTCACACTTATAAACACTTACATCATCACAAAAATTAGTAAAATTAGAGCTAAAATAATCATCAAGAAATAAAATAATAGTTCTCCATATGAAAAAAAAAAATCTTCATTTTTTCCATGGATTAAAAGTTCTAAAAATCATGTATTCATAATTAACGAATTAATTCAAGTGTTCACGATTAATGAGCTGTGTGTGAGGATAAACAATTGCGTTAGGATATTCTGATGGATTCCCCATCATAATTTTTAGGTTTGTGCTGAGATTAATAGAATTTTTAGATATCAAATGCAATACTAAGCTCATCCTTGAAAGTAATTAGTAAGATCTTAGAGAGAGAGAGAGAGAGAGAGAGAGAGAGAGAGAGAGAGAGAGAGATTTGGTTCTAGGATGTGAATCATGAGGGCCATGTGCTATACTCTTCTTCATCTCAAACCTTCACATGGTCTTTTCATGTCTCTTCCTTATCCATTATATCTATTTGCTTCTTTCCTTTTTTTTCTATATAGATACTCTTGCCTGCCATTTAGTTAGTAAACCAGTTTGAAGCGTTTTTTTATTTATTTATTTATTTATTTTTTTTTTTTAGCTTTGAATTTTGAAGCTTGTACCTTGGGCTGTGATTTACTATAAAATTTTCTCACAATTTTTATTTTCAATTCAAATACTATACAATCAAAATAATGCAATACACAAACTATAGTGATAATGATGCACAACACAAGCTATTAATAATATGATATGAAGGCTAGCTACATGTATGATCTTTTAGATAAACAATCTATGAACATGTTTAAGAAATTCAAAATGATGTGATATGTTATAAGATGAGTAAACTAAGGTTTTATTTTGGGTGGCTATTTTACTGTTTTTTTTTTAAAAATGGATCGTAAGGTTGCTGGCGATGGTGCAGGTGGGGTACTGAGGCGTCAGTGGCACGGCACGGGTGTCATGATGAACTCGGCGTTGGCAGTGACATAGCATGGTTTCGGGCGTTGGAA